GAAGAAGAAGAAGAAGAAGAAGAAGAAGAAGAAGAAGAAGAAGAAGGAGAAGGAGAAGGAGAAGGAGAAGGAGAAGGAGAAGGAGAAGGAGAAGGAGAAGGAGAAGGAGAAGGAGAAGGAGAGGAGGAGGAGGAGGAGGAGGAGGAGGAGGAGGAGGAGGAGGAGGAGGAGGAGGAGGAGGAGGAAAAAAGAGAAAGAAAGAAAGAGAGAGAGAGAGAGAGGAAGAGAGAAAGTGAAAAAGAAAGGAAGAGAGAGAGAGAGAGAAAGAGAAAGAAGATCTATTTTCTCCTTGAGAGTCTCTCATGGCAGACATCTAGCTGGCTGTTCAATCCCACCATTGTAAAGATGCAAGAGGTAAACCTTGATTTTGAGGTCTCTAACCTCCCATTTCTTAAATCCCCCTCCCCCATCTCTTCCTTCCATTGAGAAGAAAACTTATAACTGGATCTCTTATTTTCTCTAGCAAAATGCAAGCGCTTCTATTTTCATTCCATGGCATTAGCTGTAGGAGCAGAAGGCTCAGATACTGGATGTTTTGTCCGATAGCCTAAATTTTCTACAATATAAATATCCCACCTAACTGAGGGTTGGGGTAATTTCCCAGTGACGGTTTCTGATAAATTTGGTTTATGCTTTCTTTCCTTCTTGGCAGAAATCCCTTAAACGATGTAAGCAGGACTTGTTGTATCTTCTGCCTTCTCATGTTTTCCTTCTGTTGAGTGTGTTGGATGGCAGGATTTGTTCCTATCTCTTAGACCAGGGGTATCAAACTCAAGGCCTGCGGGCCAGATCTGTTCCATGGGGTGCTTAGATCTGGCCTGTGGGGATACCCTGGGAACAGTGAAGAACTGGCCTGTGGTACCTCTGCCAGTGAAAACAGAGCTTGGAAGGGCCAGGTGCAGTCTTCGCAAGCTCCGTTTTCACTGGCGGAAGATTGCAGGAAGCAGTCGCAGCCGAAAACGGAGCTTGGGAGCCAGTTTTCACTCACAGAGTGCTTGGGCCACCACAGGTGCCCCTGACCTGAGTGACATCGAGCTGGCTACGCCCACCTTGACCATGCCCACCCCGATTGCCCGAGGTCAAACACAATCCTGATTGTGGCCCTCAATGAAATCGAATTTGACTCCCCTGCCTTAGACGGAGGATAAGCTCAAGTATATGGTGAACAATAACGAGATAGTTCAGAACTACAATATGCTAAGCAATTTGGTTGTCCTGGAATTGACCCCCATTTTTAAATTAACTCCTGGCAGAGAGGTGCTTAGGCAAGCCAGCTCTGCCTTTTGCTTCTTGCCAGCTGCAAGATAACAAATGTCTTACTCTAAGCGCAAACAGGAAGATATTTCTCTCTTTGGTCATAGCAGGTGCCCACTACCTGTTAGATCCTTCACCTTCATTAAAATGTAAGCTTCTTTCCTAGTAGATCCCTAAACTAAGCCCCTCTGGAAGGGAAAGGGGAAAGGAAGGATGCAAGGCTATAAAAATTGCCCAACGCACAACCCCTTTGTGAGTTGAATCCCGGAAACTTTGTCATTTGGGCTCACTGTGCAGACTAGGAACGAAGTCTCGGTCTTGCGAGCAATTAATTGGGCAATCTAAATAAACATGATGCTGTTTGTTTGAGTCGTGGCACTCCCTTTAATGTCCGCCTGCTTCTGTAGTCGTCCTGCAAATTTTAAACTAGCGATAAAGCAAGAATTTCAGAAAACCCTGTTCTATGCCTTTTAAACTACTTTATTTGTCTCCTGGTGGAGGATGGCGTCTCATTATTCAGTGGAAGTAATTTTCGTTTACCAATCACGTTAGATCTTGCATCTGGAAGGTACAAGCATCCTCCTGACTTTTTATTTATTTTTTAATAAAAAGAAGAGGGGGTCAATGTATTCTCCAAAGCACCTGAAGGCAGGACAAGAAGAAAAGGATGGAAACTAATCAAGGAGAGAACCAACCTTGAAATAAGGAGATTTCCTGACAGTTAGAATTATTGATCAGTGGAACACCACCCCTTAGAGCCAGAAATGACTAGCATGTAGGTGCGAGGGGAACCTTTACCATTACCTTATAAGCATAGGAAGGTAACAGCATTTGGCTTTTCACCATATGGTCTGTGCTGTGGCGTAATGTCATGCAGGCCAGTTGACCATGGAAATGTCTCCGTCAATGCTGGCTGTTCAGTTGAAGAAATAGAGATGAGCACCAGCTAAAATCAGTCACAACTAGCAGAGTACAACCTGCAGGGACACCTTTACTTTTACTTTATCGTGGTCAGATCACACCCTGGTACCTTAAGTTCAGGGGCAGGCAATTAATTTTCCACATGAGAAACTGGGACTGATGTGCAAAGCCATCCAACAGGGCTGTGAAGGTAGGCATGCACATCCATGCATACATAAATCGGGGGAGGGGACAGTGGTCACATTCAAAATAAAAGCGATCCACGTGGGCTGCACAGAGATAGCCAAAGGACTAGATATGGCGTGGGGGCCTAAAATGCCCTGGTCTGCTTAAGATTCTCCTATGCTTCTGCAGGAAAGAAGGAGCTATTTGATCAATCCACCCCGCAACTGATGGATGTGGTGAGGTTCCTTAGGGATCCTTAGACCAGGAGTCCCCAAACTTGGCTACTTTAAGACTTGTGGATTTCAACTCCCAGAATAGCTGGCTAGGAAATTCTGGGAGTTGAAGTCCACGTGTCTTAAAATTGCCAAGATTGAACAGCCCTGGTGTAAGAGGTCTCAGAAAATTTTTACCTTCAACTCTCAGAAAGTGGGATGGAAGAAATAGGACAATCTCCTTTCATAGTCTCTGTTCATATATTCATATAAGAAGGATTGGCCAAGATGAAGTATTGGGTTGCATTTAAGCATTTAAGCCAAGGGTCTTCAAACTTGACAGAGCTTTAAGACTTGTGCTCTTCAACTTCCAGCATTCCTGAGCTAACATGACTGGAGGAGGAATTCTGGGAGTTGAAGTCTACAAGTCTTAAAGTTGCCAAGTTTGGAGACCCCTGCCTTAGACTCTCCTAGACTGTCGTGCTGAGGCCATGGCCTCTGCCTGGAGTAGATAGGAAGTAGCAAGAGCCTTGGACAAAATTGTACCCATGTTCCTGTTTTTCTTGAAATCACTTTAAGATTTTCTGGGACAATATATCTCAATACAAAGGCAAATTCTGTTGGCTTATTCTATTATTTTTCCATCGTGGATGGATACTTTTTCCTCTGGAAGAGATTTGAGCGAAACAACAACAGAAATCAAAAGAAACAATGAACATTTTCCCTTATTCAAACAAGCCCACTGCTGTGTTCAAAGCAAAGGCGCCAATGTGCCAAGGTTACATTCAGAACATTTTTGTTCTACAGTGTTCATTTTTTGGGGGGGGAAAAAAACACAAACATTGTGGGAAGGTGGGGAGAGATGTTTTGTTTATTTTAGGAAGCTAAGAAAGTTAATGATTTTCTAAATGGACTTCAGCATTTCCTCACTTGAAGACAGGAATTCTTCTTGCAACTTTATGTCCATGATACCATAACTGTTGCAGAACTGGATCCATAACCCAGGTAAGCTGATTTTTTTTTTACTTCTTCTTTAGTATCATACAATCCTCTGATCACTATTGGACTTTTTTTGAAGCCTTCTATAGCTAGGATTTGTATATGCTGACTAATATAACAGTTTGGTCCTGGCCTTTCTTTAATGGATTGTGCTGATTCAATAGCCTGGAGTAGGCTAAATGCCCTTAAATATTTATTATTTTAATATAATTTATTTCCCCTTGGAGAACTCTTTACATCATGTTGATTTACTTCTTCCTTGTTTTTCATCTTCCCCCTGTGATTGTGCTATAATGGCAATTTCACCCAGAAACCTCCATAGCCTATCCTAGTTATTCAAGCATTTCCCATGTACTAAAAGAAATCCCCCTGTCTTATTTGTTGTGTGCTGAGGTTGTCTCCTACACAAGGTTTGTAGAGTCTCACTGCAAAAGATTCCATTGGGACTTCTCTCCCAGATAAATGGGAACATGTTCCTGGAAAGACATATTTAAAGGAAAGAGAAGTGGGCAACCCTACCATTTTTGATCACACAGTCATTTTGTTTATTACTTGAATCCGTTATGACCAACCTTGCTAATGTGGAGCATTTCAGCAACCCAAAACAATACTCCATCCAAAATGCTGAACTTCTTAAGAAGGTTAGGAAATGATGATGAAGAACATCTAGATCTTGAAATGGCTGGCTGGGAAATTCTGGGAGTTGAAGTCCACAAGTCTTCAAGTTGCCAAGTTTTGGAGATTCCCCCACTCTATGGCTTTATAAATAACATTAATGCTGAATTTATAACGTAACAACCTCTTTCAAAGCCTGACTTTCTCATTGCTTTGTTGTAGAGGTAATCCTTGACTTACATCCATTTGTTCACTGACTGTTTGAAATTATGATGATGCTGAACAAAGTGACTAATGACCTGTACCCAAGTTACAACTGGTGCCATAGCCCCACAGCCCCACAATCACAACTTAGGTGTTTTGCAACCCACCCACCCTTACGACCGACCGTAAGGATACTAGAATGGTCCCCACCTGCATATCTTTCCTCCATCCCACCCCGGTGGATCCCTTGCATCTACTTCCTGGGTCCCCACAGCCCTTGAGTCTGCTTTCTTCCTCACTGAAACCTACATATGCGGGGATGGGATTCAGCCATTTCGGACTGGTTCACACGAGGCAGGTAAGTGCAGGATCCAGGCGGAGGCTCTGGGAGGATGAAAAATGGAAGTTCCAGAAGTCTGGAAGCAGGCCTGTTTCCCGCTATCGGTTCTGCAGGAAGTGGCTTCTGTATAAGTAGGTACACAGTGCCTTAGGTGATTTTCTTTAGCAGGGGTCTCCAAACTTGGCAACTTTAAGTCATGTGGACTTCAACTCCCAGAATCCCCCCCAGGCATCAGAGCTGGCTCAGGAATTCTGGGAGTTGAAGACCATAAGTAATAAAGGGGCCAAAGTTCCCCACTTCTTGTCTAGAACAGTCTAAAAAGGTGGAGATTTTACATGTCTCTTTGCTGCTAAAAGGTTTAAATCGATATCTGATTATCTAGTATGAGGACACATCTCGCACTGTGGAGAATAGAATATGAGGTAGTAAAAACACATGGGAAATGTCTTATGAAACAATCATGACCTGGATCACTGAGAATCCCCATAGACAATTTGTGTTATGAAACAATAACCTGATAATTTTATTTCTATCTTCCATCCAAGATACATAATCATGAAACAGACGGATACTGACCCCACAAACAAATCAGCCATGGAAATAAACACTAAACCACCAGAGGAGAAAGCTACCAACGAACTACCATTAAAGCAAAAAACAACCAGTTGTCAAGGAGTCAAGGTTTAATAATTTATTATTATTTCTTTTTATAAAAAAAATATTGAAAATGTATTCAATTGTGCAACAATGAGGCCTTCCAGACAGTGGTGGGATTCAAATAATTAACAGCCAGTTCTCTGCCCTAATTACTGGGTGGGCTGGCCAATTGATTGGTCTCAACCTTTTGAAATTTCTCCTTAGTCCAACTACAATACAACAGCACTGTTCCAATATTTAGAATAGAATAGAATAGAATAGAATAGAATAGAATAGAATAGAATAGAATAGAATAGAATAGAATAGAATA